CTCTTGTCAACATCTATGTCTGCAACCTTGTCTGAACCACACATGGGAACCACTTCACCAGCTCCATTTAGCTCCTTGTGTCGATTCTTATTTCGTCAAAATAAAGTGAACCTGTCTTCTCGCAGAGTCAAAGACAGTACCCCTGGTACCCTACCCAAAAAATCTCCACAACAGCATTTGCTTTTCCTAAAGGAGCGAGTTGAGAGCTGGATGCTGTTTATCTGGCTTAGACAGACACCTGAATAAACCTCTGAAAATTTTGATCAGAAGATAAAAAAATCACTTAAACTGGAGCTCTGTGTTACTGTCTTCACAGCCTTCCTTTTATATGTAGAACAAATTGCTTGTTTCAGTTCTAAAAAATATCAGATTACTGACTTTTGAAGGGAATTTTTTTGTTATGTGGTACTTCTGGAGTGCTGTTATGATAATTTTTTTCTATTTTGTAAGGGCCGTTTGTTCAGTTCATCTCATTTATAAAAGTTTAAAATCCCTCTCACTGATAGGTGCTGAACAAACCTCTTTGTTTTCCTATAGCCTAGCAGTAACATTTGTCCTTGCCTACCTAAATGCAAAATGCTGGTCAAGTGTTTGACTTTCTCTCATTTGTCTAACAGGTAAGCTGCAAAGTGCTGCAATTCTTTCATCAGTACATGTTGGGGTGCAACTACTTCTGGATGCTCTGTGAAGGCATTTATCTTCACACACTGATCGTAGTGGCAGTGTTTGCTGAAGAGCAGCGTTTGCACTGGTATTACCTCTTGGGCTGGGGTATGTATGTTATCATTTGTAGCAATTCTTTCAGATGTTTGAATTCTTCTAGCACTTATATACCGGAATTGTTGTATTTATATCACTAGATCATAACCTTAAGATTGAGTTCTCGGGTCCTAAATTTCAGTGCATTTATTTGGATGAGCTTAGAGACTTGCAAAAAACAGCAGGAGTCAGTATCTCCTGCTCAGTATCAGTATTTGCTGCATCTTGGGATTTCCAGAAAGAAATGCTTAAGTTCTGTTAAGAAAAGCTTTGGAAGAGAAATATATTTCTATTGAAGCATATCTCTTTTCTGAACAGAAGCTCTCTGTTTTTGTTACATATGCAAAAACATGAATGTCTGACATTACCTATAAAGTATATTTTTTCTGGAATGACGAAGAGTAAAGATCAGTATCTGTGTCTCACAAAGTGAAAAAACACAGCATGCAAAAAGGGGAACCAGAATTTCTCTGGAAGTGAACCCAGTATCAGATATATTTTTGCATATGTTGTTTTAAAGGAAAATATTCAGTTTTACCTACTGAGTAGATAAGAGCTCTGCTATCAGGGCTGTTTTTGTCCAGCAGTAATGATCTCTAAAGCATTTCAGAGAAACATACAGGTGTCAATAAGTAAATCTCCATGATATTCTTTGAGAGAGGTTACAATCCCACACACTGTGGATGCAAACTGCATGTAGTCACATGCATATTGCCCAAGGAACCAGTTCTGGTTCTTCACCTCTAAATATGCAGATTTCTTCTGTTTACGTTAAGGGATGCCTTGCCTTTTAATTGGTAGCAGCAGCAGATATTTACCCTTTGGACGGTCTGGTCCAATAAATGGCCACATAAATGCAACCACTATATTACAAAGGAGTCTCTTTCCCATTTAAATCACTATTGTAAATCCAGTCCACATCGATGTTGACAGAAAATCAATACCAAGGGTTTTTTCACCAATTTGGGAACCATGAATCTCTGGTCTCATTCCAATTTCTGGTAAGCCAGTTCCCATGGGGCAGCAAAGCAGCAAATTATGAACCTTTATCCACTGTCCCATTGCACTTAGGGATGTTCATGCAATCCCAGTTGGAGACAGATACAATTTACTCTGTTTTCCATTCTCTTTGGAGATGTTATACTTTTTCACCATTATTTCATTTACAGCATAAACAGATAAAAATTAGGAAATTTTATATTAGATTTAATGGATAATTATATATATAGATAATTAGATCATTGGATCAGAGGAAAATGACCCAGTTCTAAATCTTGTGAAGAAATTTAAAACACTGTCTTCAACTGCTAGGTAGGCATTCAGTATTGGGTCCTAAGTAGGCAGTAACAGCAAAGTGGAAAGTTTTTCATCCTCTGTTTGGATTTTCATTTAAAAGTCTGGTAAATTACTTTCCTCTTATGGTATAAGGCTTAGTGCTCTCTGGATACCTACATTAGACACCTAGAAAATTAGCATGATTTTCTTGTTTATGTGGATGGTAGTGCCAGATAACAGTTTCAAAGCATGTAAGAATTTGGTTTTGGGGGTTTTTTTTGTTTTTTTTAATGGGAATGCCAACACGCACTCTTTTTTTCTTACGAGAATGGCATCTTTTCTGAGAAGTGAGGGACCGGTCATGCTCTTGGAATTAAAAGTATGTGGAACATTATCAGCTCTTAAATGAAGACAACCTTCCTAAAGAACCATAAATCAAGTTAAAGTTTCTGGACTTTGTCAATCCAAATAGCTGAGTCCTCTCGGAGCAAGAAGCTGTTCTACCATAAAATTTTCAGAGTTCAGAATATTTGAATATAAAAGGTCTCATAGGGCTTTGAAATGGCAATCGTGTGAAGAGTCAGTTTAAACATTTCCTTCCAGACAAAGCTTTTTCTATGTTCATATTTTGCAGAATAAGGCTTCCCAAAATATATCCAATTATGCAAGAGGAATATGGTCATAAGTGTATTTTTTTTCTGGTGACGTTCAATTTGGGCAATACAATTTAATGCAACTGTGACATCTAGCCTGCAGGGAAAGCTTACAAACTAGCTGTAATAGTGCTGAGAATGACACTAGCAGCATGGTGGGTAATTCAGTGAAGTTACCTGATAAGATACTCATTAGTATCTGCAGCTCTGCCCAAAAAATAAAGAGGGTGGTGGCTGTGGTAGTAGGGTGCTGATACCTTGAGATGGAAAAGGTTAATAAAAATGAACACAGCTCTTGACGACAATGTTTGCAGCCTTTTTTATGAAACTAGATGAATACTTCCACAAAAAAAGGTGATCATTAGCACCTCCTAAGTAAAGTAGAAAGTATTAATAGCAAAATGATCTCATTAGGACTATCTGGCCATCCCTTAAATTTGCATGAATCAGTGTAATTCCCCTGATTCCAGAAGCAGTAGTAACACAGTCTAACTTTAAACATCCAGCTGTGTTAATCAATGGAGAGAGATGTTTCTCCAAAGAGCAATACAGAGCAACCAGAGCAGGCTGTGCTCTGAATTGCAATTCAAGAGATCAAAGCAAATGTACAACACAAGATGAAGTTACTCATTATTCATTGCTGTTGCTAATCCCTATGCAAGAAGATACAGTTTATTTGGAAAAATCACTAATGACATTTGTAAAATAGCTTTATAAGAAAAGTAAAAATCTGAGCAAATACAAAAACTTCTACAAAAGGTTTGAGGTGATGAAATGGAATCTGACCTGGACAGATGTATTTCAAGGCTGTTGCCATCAGTTGACCCTTCTCTAGGAACTGCCACTGGGGATGTCGTTTCTCATTTTTTCTATTTCACTGGGTCAGGAAATCACCATTATGCAGGGAAATAAAACAGTACCAACTGTGTGCATCCAGCTACAGTCCATTCTATCTGGATGCTTCAGGCAGCTTCACCCGTATAAAAGTCAAAAGGGAATCCTTTATTTGGACAGTGCTAAAACTGAGTGCCTCCCAAATTGTACTGGAAATATTGACATAATTGCCAGTTTGTGCTATAAAGGACTTGGCATGACCTAAAGGGATATATCATATCTTGTCCTGGGATGATTGGGATAACACCTTCTCTACGTTACTCACCGATCCCCATGTGTTGGTGGGACTCTGCAGTGATACCTGTTACCACGACCCCACAGGCCTTGGTGCTTCACTTCTCAATAACTCTCGGCCTTTTGGCCCTTTACAAGAGAAGACCCCATCCAGCCTGCAGCTGGAAATCTGAGCTGTAGAGTCATGAGCTTCTTACCCTGCAACTGACTAGTGATGACTTTCCATTGTATTTTTAAGATTTGCTTGTGAGTTTGTTGAGCCAAATATCCTAATGCTTTTAGCAGAAGAAGAAAGGTCTCTTTGCATCATGTGGCTCACTCTACTTGCAGTACTCCAGGCCAGAGTTTTCAGCTGAAGAATTTTTGCTGTTGCAGAAAGGCCCCTTAAAAATTGCATTTCAGTCTGTCAAAAAAACTGGCCTAGACCTGCTCCATTTCCCAATCAAAACGATTTTCTCAAGCTGTCAGTGCCATAAGCTCACCCTGAGGTTGGAAGCTCCCTTCTTTTTATTCTGAGCTGTTTGTTGTTTTACTGTGCATCATCACCTAAAAAAGGCATTTTGCAGCCAGAGGCCAACTCATCATTGTCTAACAACATATAAAGGAAAAGGCAATCCAGTTTGTTCTCCCACAGATGCATTGTTCTCCCAAGGTAAATTGCAATAAGAACTTTTTTTTGGCAGTAGAATAAGTACTATTGCTTAAAGATACCTGGAGACATCAGAGCAGCCTATTTACATAGTTTTTTGATTTTATTCTCACTCTCCACAATATGGCTAAGGATTGTCTGACTCTTCTAAAATTGTTTATGAAATCACTAACACCTGAAGAAACATGGAGCCATGTTCTTCCCTCTTTGACTAATCATGGTATCAGCGGGATATTTTTACACATTTGCATTTATAATTATAGAATGTCCAAAACTCAGTAGAAACATCCATAATTTTTAGGGAGCAGGCAGCAGTAACACCAAAGGTGTACTCCAGGCTCTCTGCAAAGGACAGACAAGGCAGTACATCATCTCCCCACTGGCCAGCTGTCTGTATGTGCAAGGTTGTACAAACTGGAGTCAGCATTATAGTGCAGGCTCCCCAGTTCCAGTTTCTTAGCCTGTTGGAGAGGAATATGACATACAAGCTGAAGAAAGATGGACAGGAGTGGACCAGACTGTCACTCTCAGTGTCAGGCTGGAAATAAGAACTTGAGCTTTCCACTTTGTTGCACATAGCATGTTCCCAAGCCCAGTGCAAATTTGCTCCTGTCATCTCCCTGTCAGAGAAGTGGCCTCCCTTGAGGTGTCACAAATAAGTCAGGATTTATGGTATCCACAGTATTTATGTGGATTTATGGTATGCACAGCTCATCTCCCTACGAACATAAAGCTACATGGGGTGGGCTTGGCTGCACAGGGGCTGGGAACCTACAGAAGATATTACTAATCCCCATCCCCCAAAAACCTCCTGGCTCTAAATATTTACTTGTAGCATTGGCTCCAAAAGAGAAACTCTTTGCTCTGTTATTTATTGCTCCATAATCTGGCACACATGTGCCTCTCTCTTGCTCAATAGTTATTTACATGGTTTTAACAAGTGTCCCTGGTTTCCTGAGGGAATACTCCTCTGAGAACAGAATGATCCCTGAATTCTTCCCACACCACCTGCTCACACCCTTCCCTGCACAAGCCACAGCAGCTCAGGGGAGCCTGGCAGCAGCTTTGAAATGCCCCAGAAGAGTATGGTCTGTGGGCTTTGCTTCTCCTTTTGGCCTGCCTTGGACATTAATCTCTTTTTATCTCACCACTGAGGTAATGCCAGGGCCTGAGTGCAATGGATTACAGTTCTTTCCTGAAAGCTGTGATTTCACATCCATGTGTTTTGTAGACAAGAGACTTATTAGTGTGTGAGATACATGAAATTCAAGTTAAACAAATACCAAGACTGATCTATAACTGTAATCATTTCAGGGTTCCCTTTAATGCCAGCATCCATTCATGCTGTTGCAAGAGCCAAATACTTCAATGACAAGTGAGTATCATATCTATTTTTGAAGGAACTTAGCAGTATTTAACTGTGCAGCAAATTTTATTCAAGTTAATAATAAATGTTGTATTTCCCTTCCAGCTGCTGGATGAGCGTTGACACACACTTGCTCTATATTGTTCATGGGCCTGTAATGGCAGCTTTATTGGTAAGAATATTATTTGCTATTAACTGTTAAGTAATTATTTTAGAAATGCTGCTAATCTATACAGAGTAGAAGTTTTTGTACTTTAACTATTTTGGTCAAAACTCAGAAGTAGCAAGGGACTTTCTGTACTCAGTGTTACAAGAACAGGTTCTCAATACTTCAGAAAAACAAGTCCCTGTAAAGGGACTTCCCAGTAAAGAATCAGACTCTTGAGGCAAACAGACTCACTAGCTGCTTTAGAAAATCAGGACAGTCACTCTATCCCAGTGTAACTTATTTATGATGAATATATACTGCATTTATGTGACATCAATGAGGCATTTAGCTATGCTTTAGCTGGGGTGAGCTGAGCACAGGCTGGTTGCTCAGCATGAGTTTTACTGGTCACTGAACTGTTATGGTCCAAAGGTAGGGAGCTAAACAAGTCCCAGGGAAGGGACTGGACTGGGCTGTCTGAGTAGAAGGACAAGATTCAAAGTGCAGCTTGACAATGTGCATATACACAACATGTGGTATGCCAGTAGTGCTGTTTGGCATGACCTTCCTGAAAGGTGCAGAAAGGGTTTTATTCAACCCAAGCCTAAGTTTGTGTCACACAAGATGAACTTTCAGCTTTTGAGCTGCCTCATGCTTACAAACACTGCATGGATGTAATAATAATGGCCAGTCTTCGCGAGCGAAGATTTGGGAAAGGTCATTGACCCTTCGAGCCTGCGCAGTGGATTTTTTAGGTGAGACACAGCGTGCGCTGAACTGAGCCCACCCTTTAATCCTGAGGTTCATCTGCCGGGGCCGAGCAAAGCTTGGACAGTGGCAGTGAGGGTCTCAGAACGTAGGTTTGTTTAGAGTGACCTTCTCTTAGATGGATTGCCTTACAGGGCTAACGAGCTCCATCTGCCCGGGGGGTTGGGAATCGAACCCGGGTCGCAGCGGTGAGAGTCCTGCACCCTAACCACTAGACCACCAGAGGGATTATTATTATGCATGGATGTATGTGCAATTATTACCTCAAAATCAAACAGTAGGGCAGTGAGTACTGGGAACACCTTTGAATAAAGAAACAACTTTCCATCTAAAAGCTTTCTGCCCTTTCTTGAGAAGCAATCTTGAACATCAGCAATGCGAAGGAGCCCATCCTTCCCTGTCATAGAGATAATCTGTTCGTCCCATAGAATCACATCTATTTGGGCTTTATTGGTTTGATATTGATTGCATCTGCTCTTTTAATGCCAATTAACATGTAGGAGAGGCCATTCAACCTTTATTTTTATCATCATGATCCAAGTCTGTACATCTTAGCCACAACGGAAAGAGAGGGGACTGGTTTTCATGAAAAAAAAAAGAACAATCTTTACCTGTTTTCAAAATAAGGCATTGTATTTTCTGGCTTGTGCTTATGCCATTTCCACTCTTACTTTTCTTGTGTAGTTGTCAATGTCTACAGAATGTCCTGCTTGATTTGCTACAAAAATCCCACAGTGACAGGCTGACTCAGAAGAGTCAAAGGTTTTTACTTTTGTAAAGTCTTTTTTCCACTTTTTTGGTTACTTCCAGAAATGCTAAAAGTGAAGTTTAAGCAGAGTGAGTGAAGTCAGAATAGGATGAAGAATAAGGTTTAGATTTAATGCTGAATGGGACCTGAGAAGTAATTTATTATTCCTTTTTTCCAGTAGAGAACAAATGTAAAACAGTTGAAAGGTCTCTGAGTGTAGTTAAGAAGTGATGAAATGCTTTGCCAAAGCTTACTGATTCATCGTTCTGAAAGAATCAACTGAAATTTCCCATCTAGCTATGGAATTTGAGCTATTAAAGTTTGAAGTTTTATCTATGGAATTTGAGCTATGTAAGTTATACAACTTCCATACTTATTTTTAAAAAATCACCCCAAAAATGTCTAATAACGTTCCAAAGCATAGGTGCCTGATTTTACTGTAGCAGAGTGGAAAAGAGTGATCTGGGTACACTGGAGAGGGAGAAGTCTGTGATGTCCACAGGGTAACCACTGGGCTCATTGTCAGCCTGGGTCTGCCCTCCCTGCTCCTGCAGGCTCTCAGCATATCCCACAAGGAGCTCTCTGTGAAGCCAGGGGTCAAGGGCAGGTTCCACTGTGCTGAGATCAGATTTCCAGAAGTAGCTGAGGAGATGAGATGCTGAGCTGCTTGGAATCACTGACTGTAAGGGTCAGGGGCAAAATTTTCAAAAGTGTCTGGCATTTCTGCCCTGAGACAGCAAGTGCTTCCTTTTACCTATGGGTAGAGCACCATGAGGTCCCTGCAATGTGGTGGAGGCAAGGGGTAGCCTAGGTTTTCCTCAAGAGCAGCCTTACTGCCCTGCTGGCTTCACAAACCTGAGGTATTGGCCCAAGGAGAATATTCCTTAGGGAAATTATGTGCTCCCATAAGTCCCATGTGCCCAAGGACATGTTGGGGTTTGTCTCACCTGGCAAGATAGCTCAGTAACTGTTAGACTGGTTACTTCTAGGGGGCAATTCACCCCCCTCGTTTAAACTTTAGAAACGAAAATGAGATTAAGTGTTCCCTGGAAATCCTAAATTTGCCCACATCAGTGTCAAAACATCCAGTGCTTCCTAGAATGGATCCCTGCCTGCCTGAAGCATCCATGCAGGCTTCCTAAGCATGTAGAGCTGCTTAACATATCGTTTCTGGTACATTTATCTTTTCAAGGTACTTACCAAGACATGACTCCCCAGGAGCTGCCCATTATGAGATACAATAAAGCTAAAAAGCTACACTTTACTGCTATTTATGTGCTCTGTACTTTTATTTTGGTGTCTGTTTAATTTGAATGCTTTTACCTACAATGGCTTTGGCTTTGCAGGTCAATTTTTTCTTTTTGCTTAACATTGTCCGAGTTTTGGTGACAAAGCTGAGAGATACCCACCGTGCTGAGTCCAACATGTATATGAAAGCTGTTAGAGCTACTTTAATCCTGGTGCCCTTACTAGGAATTCAGTTTGTTATTATTCCCTGGAGACCAGAAAACCGACTTGCTGGAGAAATATATGATTACATCATGCATATATTAATGCATTACCAGGTATGTTATATGGTAGCAACTTCAATGTAGTTAAAGTGTTTGCTGTTAAGCTAATTTACTCAAACATACTGTTGTCAGGGTTTTTTCCCTGAAGCTGAAAATGTCTGTGGGTTTTCTGTTCTTTTCTAAACACTTTCACATTATTGGATTATCTGCCTTTGCACAAGCAGCACCACTGTGTAAAGAACAGAGAAAAGATAGGGGAAACAATGTAATAAGTAGCCAAAATTATCAGATGACACTATTTCTAAACTATGGAGAGAAAACTGAGTTCACAAAGGGCTTTTGTGTTCCAACACAATTTCTGTTGAAATGCTCAAATTGACTGAAACTGGTGCTGTGAAGTTAATATTAAAATCAGCTGTGTATGCAAACTGTTGTACAGAGGGAATGCCAACACACAGAAGAAAACACTGAGACAATTAAGCTTCATTTAGGAGTTAGAATTACATTACTAGGCAGCTTAAATTACAAGACTGACATGTTGATTTCATCAGTGCTTTGAAAATATAGCATCATTCAGCAAGTCTGGTTTATTTTCTTTTGATAGCAAAACAAACCTAATTGACTTTAAATGCTGGCTTATCTTGTTTTCTGACTGGAATATATCCAGTCTTATATTAACTAGGAAAGGCAGATTTCCAATGCATTTGTGAATAGTGATGAACATGGGTGAATACCGTGATCTACTTGTGGTTTCCTTTCATACAGAAGCTAAATGCAGAAATAATGTTAATGTTGTAGTAAGAAAACAGCTTAAAAAAATCAGTGGTACTTTTTCATAAATGAAGGGATAAGTAATGCTGTCAAAATCTCTGCATCCTGCCAGATTTTGTTTCCTGCTTATTGCCTTTATCCCTTCAAAACTGTGGGTGTGCCTGCTACTGCATGCATAGAATAACTGCGATTATAGGTCTGTTTTTGAAATGTATGTCATCTTATGTTACAGTTCTACTTTAAAGGAATGAGAGTCTGTTTCTTCTATTGTTACCTTTACTGTCACATCTTTGGTGGCAAGAGCTGTAAAGTAATATCTCCAAACTAGTTTTCTGGTGACAAGTTATTTGCTTACAGTTTTAGCAAGTTAGAATAAGAGAGTGTTACAATAATCACTTTACTCTTAAAATAGCTTGCAAATCCTGTGAGGTTGTTGGAAAATTGCAAAACCAATTATAATTGTCTTAATTAACAATTCTAATTGTGATCATTATGCACTAGAAAGTCACTAAACTGAGGTTAAAATGGAAGTTGTACTGATGAAGGGATTGGGTGAGGGAGGGATCCAAGGTGACAAAGTTTCATCTCTGATGGGTTCCTTCTGCTCTCACAGAAGAGCTCTTGATATCTCTGCAGTATAATCTCAGTGTGCTTCCTGCCAAAATGTGACCTTTCAGGAGGGCTGTGCAGTTGTCCTGCTAACTGCAGCTAATTGTGATGCTCCCTTTTCCACTTTGAGTGGATTTTTAATTATATTCTAAAATAAACTTTCTTAATTCTTTCCCAACCATTTCTTGTATGCATATTTAAGATAGCCAGCTATATAATCATTCTTCTGGTGATCATTTTCTATTAGGACTGAGTATGTAATTAGCAGATATTGTATCAGCTTTTGTAATGGCTGTGTTTCCCTCCTAGATATTGTGCTTTCATAAACCACATCACAGCCTGCCCCTCCAGAAACTAACAGTAGTCTATTAGCTTTTGCACCTCGTAGCATGTCAGTCATATACAAGCAGGCATCATGGGCGCAATATGAATTTTTTTTTGGTGGAGAATTTAATACATTCTCCATTTCTGCACTGGTTAAATGAGTAATTTTTATGCCTTTTATAGAACAGAGTGAGAGACGGTTTTTCAACAGCATGTCACTGCTTTAAGTGAGCATGAAGGTTTAATATGTGTTATGCAGTTCATGTACACAGAAATGGTGCAAACAAGCACTGCAGTTTATTGTAAAACTCAGAGGATTGAAGATGAGAAAGAATTTCTTCACACAAGAAACCATGTAATGGTGTTTCTTTCAGAGAATGGTTTCTCAGTAGAAAAACAACACATCAAGGTGTCACATGCTTGGTTTCCTCTGCCGAAATCACTTTTGAATAACAGAAGCCAGTCTGGTTTTGAACTGTCCTGCTCTTTTTGCGATACTGTCATCAATGCTCACCATTTTAAGCAGAAATGTTTTTTCAAATATGCCTGTATGAGCAATTCACAACACTGTATATCTACTGTATGTCTCTCTCACATAGACCAGATTCTTCTTAACAGATTCATAGAGCAGATATGTAAATGATAAAAAAATTGAAGACTGGCTTTTGCGCTGCAAATATGAATGTGTGTACTTTTCCAGCCCAGCTAACCAACCTCTCATGGATCCTGTAAAAGTAGAAATGAGTATCTCTTCTCACCATCACCAGTATCATCTCTTCAGTCTCCAGAATGCTGAAGATTGCATGAGGCAAAAGAAAGATATTTCAACCCTTACGTTGTGGTTTAACCCCAGCCAGCAACTCAGCCCCGCAGAACCTCTCACTCACTCCCCATAATGGGATGGAGGAGAGAATTGGAAGGGTAAAAGTGGCAAAACTCACAGGTTGAGATAAAGACAGTTTAATACGTAAAGCAAAAGCCATGTACTCAAGCAAAACAAAACACAGAATTCACTCACACCCTCCCATGAGAGGGCAAGTGTTCAGCAATCCCCAGGAAAGCACAGCTCCATCACTCGTAACAGTTACTTGGGACAACAAATGCCATCACTCCAAATATCCCCCTCTTTCTTTTTCCCATGTTTTGTATGCTGAGCTTGACACCATATGATCTGGGATATCCCTTGGATCAGCCAAGGTCAGCTGTCCTGGCTGCATCCCCTACCAACTCTTTGAGCATCCCCAGCCCACTCGCTGGTGGGGTGAAATGAGAAGCAATAAAGGCCTTGGCTCTGTGCAAGCACTGCTCAGCAATAGCTAAAATATCCCTGAATTATCAGCACTGTTTCCAGCACACATCCAAAGCAGAGCCCTATACTAGCTACTATGAAGAAAATTAACTACCCCACACAAAACCAGCACACCTTAACTGGAATGACATGCATGGATTGGGGTGCTGTAGGTACATTGGTGAACACACAGCTAACTTATTAAACAGAGCTCCTAAATTAGGCATCACAAAGCAAACATCTGCACTCCAGAAAGCCAGTGAGTTGCAGATTTACCTTAAAAAGCCTGTTAGATGATGCTGAAAGCACATGAAAGATGAAAACTCCCTCAGGGTGTAAAGCATTATGGTACAGGATGTGCTGGCTCCTTGCACACCTCTGGCGTGAAAACACATCTGTAAAAAGCCTGAAAAGCCCCATCATTTGGCAATGAAGATGAAATGGTGCACCTGGGCAAAGAGAGTGCCTTCTTCAAAGGAGTGGAGCAGCAACAACCCTCTGTCCTGCACTCAGCTCTCCATTCCGAGATAGAGCAAGAGAGATGTGGCTTGTGCCTGACAACCTGGCAGGGCCTCCTGCACCTCTGCTAGCCCTGGGGCTGCTGCTGCCACCTCCTTCACCCTGGTAACCACTGAAAATCTTTGGAAAAGTCCCAGGCTGCAAAGAGATTGGGGTGCTGTGCTTCTGACAGAGGTTCTGCTACTAATGACAATTATCCCAGCTTCTGATTTCTGATGTCAGTCTGCAGCAAAGGCCTCACAAGGAAAAGGGAAGAACAGAAAAATTTAATAACTCTATGATGCATCAGTTAGTCCCACTTATAGACACATTCCTCCCCAGATGCTCTCAAAACAAGCCCAGGGATTAACAAACTTCTGCTTGCAAGCTCCCTCCACCACCTGTCCCATCTTAATGAATTCTGTCTCCAGCACCTTCAAGCTGTGGTTGTAGAAGCTGCCAGGTTACATAACATGGCCCTGCCACTGTGCCAGAGAAGAGCCATGGAGATCTGTAAGGGAGCAGTGGAGGAACAGCCCCCGAACCAACAGCAGTACACAAGCACCTAAAGTTATTCTTCGCAATATCTTGCTGACTGTAGCCCTAAATGTACAAGTCTTCCTCTAATGAGAAATTAAATTGCTATTCAGCATAAGGCCTGGAGTTTTATTGGCAAATGAAAAGTTTTATCTGTTAAACGGAGAATAATCAAAGTTTTCTCTCTCTGCAAGTGAGATCCCTTCTGTGCCACTCATCAGCTTCCAAGCAGCACCTCAGGACTGAAGCACCTGCCCTGCTAGGCAGGGCGATGCAGCTCACAGAGGTCTGATCTGGTACAAGGGTATTTTGAGTCTTTTAGGCATGGGTTTGGACCACATATATATCCCCACTGCCTCCAACTTTTAAATTTTGCTTTTTATGCAGCTTTATGCAGAATAAAATTAACCCATTTAAAAGCAGCTTCTTAAAAATAGTGAGATATTTGAATGCATTTTAGAAGGTATTCATTCCATCTGTTTCTCAATTTATACGGAAATAAATATCCTCTGTGATGTCACATCAGACAGAAATACTTTCTCCTTCTGTGCAAAGTTAAGGTTATAGGACTGCTTTTGACAACATAAGTGGGAGTTTTTTATTTCCTTTCTTTTTTTTCTTTTTGCGTTATTAGTAATTTCAAAACTTTTTAATATTTTGAGCCAATAAAAGTTGGGGAAAATACTTTTATGAAAGCTGGATATTATCAAGTGCCATTTTTGTCTGAAAACTTCATGCACAAAATTACAGTAATGAAACCTCCAGTAGAGAGTAGGAGAAGAAGCGAAGCATGAGCTTTGGCTGATGGGATGTCTTCATCATTTTGCAGCAGGTGGGTTGCCGTCTTCAGCCCTCTTGTGACAATCTCCCCACCTCAGTAGCAGTAGAAACTGCACAGACAGATTCTTCACTTTGCTTTTCTTTTCTTCACCTAACATAAATGAACAATTTATAACCCATCATTTACCTCAGAGATGCTGTTGCTGTGAATGAAGATGGTGAGGAACACTGTTGTTTTTCTCAAAGCTTTTTATCTTTGCTGAAATGAGAGAGATGGGAATGGAATTATATTTCTGTTAAGAACCTTGGCCATGGTGGATTTTTATTGCTATCTATTCAGATCCAAAAGTGATAAGTGAATGGATGTTGACCAAAGTCCACACAGAGAATCAAAAACTGATTATTTTTATTATGACCATCTGTACAATTACATGTGCCATCATCATCTACCATCAGTAATAAATATATCATCCCACTAAAGCCTTAACAGCAACAGAGTGTGTAATCAATTAGGGCAGAAACATAGTCAGGAATAAGTATGCCTATATATGCTTTCTTGGTTTTATGAAGACATAAGATAGAATTGAAAAAGCAAGAGGTACCAGAAACCTATGTAAATTTGCAGTATCTGCATAGGTATTTTTTGTTTGTTTCTTTTTAACCTGAGCAAATTACTGGAACTTCTTTTTAAGACACTTATGTCTTCTAGGAGAGGGAGATACAAATTAAATACCTGTCAAGCAAAGAATGTCCTTGGACCAGTATAGGCACTTAAAAACAGGGAAAAACTCACTACAGTATCAATAAGGTATATGAAGGTCTGAGAGTTGCTGACTCTGGACAATCCCTAAGGCATAATTCAACCAAAAGCCACATTCATCTGTTCTTCACATAATTCCAGAAATAAAGAATTTCAGAAGTCATTAAAGGCCTTAATCTCAAAATAAATATATTTTTCATTTCTGCTTTCAATACCACAGCCAAGATTATCTTACTGGGAGCAGACAGTATATCACAGGTCAGCTTTAACAGCTCCACACAGTAGAAGAGAGATACAATTGACTCAGGGATTTCATCCTCAGCAAGAATTGCACCCTGAGCAAAAACCAGCAGCAATTAGAGAGAATATGGAAAACATATGTCAATGAGATATGAGAAATAGCCCATGGGCCTTAAATGAAATAATTAACCTACATCCAGTCTGTCACATGTTATAATAGATCCACTGTAGAATTATGGTCATCCCAAGCCCTCCTGGCTCCAAAGAGACAAAGTTGGTGTCTGCTACTGGTATCTCTGTAGCTTTACAGATGAAGATAACAATAGTCCTTTGAACTATGGGTAAAACTTTATGTGTAAAATGAAAGAAATAGAAATAGAAATAATAGAACTAGAACTAGAACTAGAAATGGAAATAGAAAGAAAAATAGAAATAAATAGAAATAAATAGAAATATTGATGACAGAGCCCAGAGGGCCATGGCAGGTGGACGAAAAGCAATTAAACATATATGGGACAGACTAGAGAAGGTAATTTCTTCAGCCAGAACATGTACAATATGCATGGTTTCAAAATAACAAGGAGCCAGGTGTACTTCCAGTTCACTCTAAACTAGAAGAACAACTGAAGGGGATATAGAGCATCACCACAGCTTCCTTTTTAGCTCTTCTGTCAGAAATTGTTTAGAGAAGACACTAGTTAAGGGAACTACACTCTCGAACAGAAGAAAAATAGGGCAATTGCAGGATGTGACAGAGGAAATCAAATACCATACAGGAACTGAAATGGAAAATGGCTTCACTTCAATAGTTCGGGTTCAATTTCTGTCTTTAGGTGAACTGCAGTTCCCAAATTCTCCTTAAACACTCTCACTGAAGAACAGACTCAGAAAAAATTTCTCTGCTTCTTTCTCTCCTCTTGCTGGCTTTTGTGTCTGCCATGCCTCCTGTGGACTATCCATCGAGCATCCCTGCTCCCAGAGGAGATCATTTGCCATTATGGCTGACTGCTGTTAGTAAAAACGTTTAGCAAAATAGTGAGACCCCTGCTGAACCATGAACCATGCAGTTCAACAGCAGGTGTTTTGCAAGACTCTGTACATCACTGCAGTGCACACAGCACGAAGAGCATCAGTGCAGGACAGCAGAAAATGACGCAATTTCTCCCCTTGCAAAAATTTTCATTTGAGGATGTCTGATCTGACGAACTCCTGCTTTGGAGGAGTAAGATTTTGGTGCTTCTCAGCCCAAAGCTTATGGACAAACTGATGTGCACTGCTTGTTGTAATCTGGGATTTGAGTTTTTTGAGAATAGTGTTTTGTCAAAACATGAAAAAAACTTTCTCGCTATACTTACCCTTCATCCTTCTTCTACATGCTTTTCTATGTTGATATTTGAAGTTATGTCAAGTTACAAATTCTGCATCAGGAAAATCTATTTTAGTAAAATAGTTGTCAAAATTGAGATGGTCAGCACATGTTCAAACCAGCCTGTATATCTTTAATATATAGACATTTTGTTAAAACAGTTATTGCTTATCCTGTGTTTGTGGTCCAACATATACATTTGAGAGTCCAAGACATTTTACAAAGCATTAGCTACAGTTTAACTGGTAATCAGTTAAATGAAGGTTTTATAAAAAAGATAGAGCTGTAAAGCTCTTCAAAGCTGCCCTTGGGAACACAAGCTGCATTGCAGTTTTCTCCTCAATTTCACTAACTGCTGTACGTTTAGCTTATAATAACTGCTTTAAGTAATTTAAAATGAAGGCATTTGGCTCCCAGTGATACTATGTAATGCTATTTTAATAAGAGCAAGTGAAGTTAGGACATGGACCAGTGTAACTACCTAATCCTGAATGGCAGATTCTCTGTGCAAGAATTTTCTCTTTTATTAATTTCACGCTTTCTCATCTCATACTCCTGCCTTGGCCCTGCTTAATCTTGTAGCAGTGGTGAAATATTATCTGAACAACTGTGGTGATGATTAAATTAATTTAAAGCTATTAAGGACTAAGCTATGATCTGCAGTATCTTTCTTTTTTTTTTCCTGCTCCCCTTCCTTGTAACTCATCTGTTTTGTGGGTTTTTTCCTTTTTCTGACCACTTACACTTCTTTTCGCATCCTCTCTGTGCATTGTGATGCCCAACATACAAGTTGACTTATCCTGACATACAATTCAATTTATAGCCTTCCTGGCACAGCTGGATTCTCCATGACTGACACTTCTAACTGGATAGCTGCACTCTGACAAGTCAGTGGCAGCATATAGGACACAATTCCTCTGCCATCTCTTCAGAAAAATCAGTGGCAGTGTGATTCTCAGCTGTAAGCAAAATATCTCTCTATCTTACAAATCATTTAATTTTCCTTCTCTACATCTCTTATATATAAACAACTTCATAGACAAAACAGATAATCTATAAATGCTAATAATACAGAAGAAAATGGTAAAATAGGATAAAAAGACAAAAATCCCTTTAATAGCGTAACTGTGAAAGATGGGGAGTGTCTGTGATGCAGAGGAAGCAGACTAATGTTTTTATTTTGTATCCATCAAGTCCAAATTTCCAAATTGCACTAAAGAATTTTACATGTTCTGATTCCTAAACTCTTCTTTTCCTTTCTCTTAGGGTTTACTCGTGGCTACTATATTCTGCTTCTTCAATGGTGAGGTAAGTATGTGAAATACAGAAAATTACCAGAACTTGAAAAATAGTCACTCTATTGTTCATTAATGCAGATGTGAAGCATGTCACACCACAAATTTTGAAACTACACAAAGCTGCTTTTACTCTATAGACAAGCAGCTGTGTGTGTTTTTGAAAGCTCTGTGCAGAGTGTGACTTGAATGTCTCTGAGCAGATGAATCAGCTGTATTACCATTACAAAGCAGATGGCACCTAATGAGGTACAGGCATGAGACTCTCCCCTACCATCTGCAGTTTGATATGGAGGTCTAAGTAAAGGAGAAAAATGCTCTACTCCCCTTTCTGCCTGAAAACAACGGGAAGGACCGCAGTAAGCAGTGGGGACCTTCAGGGGTCTGTCCTGGAGAACCCAGTGCTGCGTTCAGGCCCAGAGCCATGGCAGAGGCCATCCCTGGTAGCACTGCCAGAGCTGGAAGAGTGCAATTACTTTCACTCCTTCGAGGATTAGCACTGGCCTTTTTACAGTCAATGTTTCTTGTGTAGTAATTGAGAAATAAAAGTCCTTGAGGCAAAGATCTCTCCCATTCTCTTACAACTAGAGCATATATATGTATATACACCTACACTGGCTTTTAGGTCCACTTCACACTACCTTTTTTTTTTACAAAAAATAGCAGGTAAGAATATGTCAAGAACGATTTAAATTCCTACAGCAAGCCATTTTTCAAAGATGGTTGGCAAAAAAAGCTTTTTCAATACATCAGGAGCATTCAAATGTAGCAAAATAAAACACCATATGTCTTATCAAAGTTAGGAATTCCATTAAAAAGATCATTTTCAATCCAGACCAGATGAATTAGACACAGAATAAACTTTGTGATGCTAACGCTCAGTATGTCAACCCAGACAGATATTTGTGCTCCTGTTTATCCCTGTATATTATTAGAAAGTAGCAAATTCCAAGTAATGATGTGACCACACTTATGTTTTGATAGAGACTTGAAGCAAATTATGTTATTGATAAGGTGCTACTGGCTGCTTTGATAACTTTCAGGATAGCAGAGAATATTAAATTCTGCCACGAGCTGTCGACATCTCTGTAGATTTGCTTGTGTCTGGCTGCCTGTGTAAATGTACAGAGAAACTCAAGAGTAGAAAAGGTGAGAGGTCTCCCATTGTAGTTCTGTGGCATGGCTTCTCAGGAAACATGAAAGAGAACGGCAAAATGTGAGCAACTACCAATCCTGAAACCGAACATGAAATGGTAGCTGTAAAGATCATGCTACAAAAGTTCACGGTTTCATGCATCCAACTAAACAAAGTTGAAGAGATGTACATTTCTGTCCCCAGGATCTGCAGGCAACTATCACCTTTCTCCTTCTCCCTTACAGTCATCACTTGCTGGCACAGTCCAGTCTCCATGCCCTGGAAACACAGAAAAACTTCTGATTCTCCCTGGTAGGGGGTACCCGGCATGAAGAAAGTAGAGACCAGTCAGGCAGTTTTTGAAGCATCCTCTCCCTGGAGGAATGACTGCATAGCTATGTACAAGCAGTGCTCCAGTATGCCTGCACTGGCCTCCAGACTAAGTTTTGCCCCAAAATCCTGGTCTTGAACATCGCCTTCTTCGTTCTCCCAGCATCACCTTCCATTTTTTTTTCAGATTAAATTTTGCAGAACAAATTTTCTTATTGTTCTATAGCTTTATTGTAAAAGGTTGTTTACTCCATAATTCTCCAACTCTAATGAGAAAACATGGATTTGTGTCTAAATTAAGGGCTGTAGCAGTGCTAAAAAAGAAAGGCAGCAATAAAAGGCACTGAAAACATGAAGAGCCTTAAAGACTGTTTATTTCTTAGTTTCATCAGGTAGCTCTAATTCCAAAGTACTTTTGGCAATGCTACAGTGTCAGAAGAGCATATTCACCTTTACAACTCCAGGAATACAATTCTCGAGTTATGTAATAATGAATATATCTGAAGTATCTGCTTGCCAATATGTACGGTTAATGATTCCTTGGTGGAGCAGCCGATCAGAAACATGACCAAGTGCCAGGCAATAAGAAGAAATGGCCATGAGGATTCAGGTTTCCCAGACATGTTGAGAATGATTTTGTTGGTGCTTGGGTACTTTTCAACATTACACCCATTTTTAAAATCGTATCTGCTTCAGGCAACTTTCAATGGCAGGAACTCTGAGAAATCCTGTCATTGTTTTCTTATAGGAAATTTTATTTACTAGACAATAAGGGAAGCTTTCTTTAAAATTTCCCATTAAAGTGAGCAGAGAGTCAGTGATGACACCTCTCTGACAGACTCAAGACAGTTTGGTGCTTGCATCAGCACATTTCCAATAAACATCAAGCAAAGTTTATGCACTACAGTAGCTAGGCTGGACTTTGCCAAGAGAGGATGAAAGGATTGTGATCCCCTTCTTCCCATTTTATTCCTGCAGTTACCCAATCTGTAGATATATAAGGCACAAAATCTGTAGAAGAGCAGTAACAGACTAATGCCGAGCTGATATTATATCCTTCCAAAGGGAGTGCTGATCTGAGTTTGGCCAAGTGAACTCAGCTGACTCCCCCCAGTCTTGTTGTGTGCAGCAGAATACAGACCAAAGCCACAGTCTGATCTTTAATCATGATAGAAGATTGTTTCCGAGCTGCTGCGTACATCTGCTGCCATAGAGGTCAAAATTACTTCTCACGAGAAAATTCAGTGTGGGGCAAGGAGATTAATTTTAGTATTACAAAAAGCCTGTATAATCTGGGATTTACTTTTTCCTGCTGGAGTATTTAACTTCAAGACTGAAACACATGAAGCTTAGCCAGGACAAACAATGCTAAACTCAAAACCACCTGACAGTGTTTTACAGTGCATTCATCACCTACTACCTCACTAATCTCACTTTAGTTCCATGAGCCCATCTATAGAAAGAAATGTAAAAATAGTAATAAGAAGCTGTACCAATGCCTGCATTCATGTGGAAGAACACATAAACAAAAGATTTGGTTGGGACTTTTAAAATGATAGCTCTTCTTGTGCATTTTCTTATAAAATCTTTGTATCCAACAGAACTGTAGTTTCTCTGTCCAACAACAACAGTGTTGTACAGATGATACGAGGTTTCTGCAATAGTTTGCTCACCAGACCACATTTCCAAGCCTGGGAATGCTTCTAGGCTGCAAGGCTGGACAACAAAATGGAAAGTCAGTTTGGGGAAAAACCAGCCATGTATCTTACGTGTCAATGAGGCGTGAATGGCTAATAAAGAACAGAAAAACCTTTAAAGTCTGGAATAGCAGAGTAAATAAGCTCAGGCTCTTCATTGTTTTAGTTTTTACTTTCTTTCATCTGCTATCACAGCAGAAAACATGGTAGGCACTGCCCTGTGCCTCCTGTCCCCAGGCACCTCCTCAGTTATTAATACATTGTGGCTGTGCATGTGACTTTCAGTAATGCTGCTTACGTATTTAAAATCCATACCTGAATGGTTTTGGTTGGCACTGAGTTATGATCATCTGAGATCCTTGGAATCATAGCAGAAATCTAGATTAACAGGTTTTGCTCAAGTGCAGCAGCTTGTACAATCCATTATCCATTTGCGGCTAGATCCTTGCACAGGCGAGTGGTTCAGCAGAGAACAAAAACACAGCTGCTTTGACCTTGTGCTCTCACTTCTCTGTAGAGCCTTTTAAACCTATATAATGGCACTTCTAATCATGGGCTGAACAGGAAGGGATGTGCCTGTTCTCTCCCTGGCCATACATACAATTTAAGCATCACTCCCTTCTAAGAAAAAAATTATAAGCTCCTCACAACAGTCTTTGTAACACTCAAGGACATTGTTCTTCCCTCCAGTTAACTATGCTAACATCTCCAGACCTATGATTGTCCTGGTGGCCTGTCAGATTCCAGTTCAGCTGTTTGTTTTCTTTTCTTTATTTGTTAGGAGAAAGTAAATAGCAATACATTCCCCAAGTGACAAACAGTGCCCACCTCAGCAGGAGCACAGAAACTCTAGGATTCCTGTCATCACAGTGCCTCACCTGCACCTGCCTATCTCTGGAGGAGGGTGTCGCTACACCAGATTATTACATCAAACTGATCCTATTCTCACATTATGTTTGGAATCACTGATCTAAACAAAAAACCCCAACATTTTCCCACTTCCTGCTCATATCTTAGTGTTACGAAGAGCCAGCACCCTGAACATGCATCTGGAGAAGGGCTTCATTTTCCTTGACAGGACTCAGCAGCTTAAATCATATCTTAGTGACATGTATAACATCACTGTTAATGTAAAAGATGAATAAAATATTTTATTCCTAGCAGATGAATGTTCAAAGGTTGAAATTCTCTGCCATGCAGCAGGCTATGACCAATGATATATTTTGCAAGAACAGAACATGTTCTTAACTTATCAGGACAAAATCTCTATTTAGCTCTACTAATCCTCCAAATCTTTCTTTCTACAAATTAGTCCTGACAAGCTCTAGAAGTACTTACACTTTGACATTCATGGCCAGTTTTACTCAAGACTAAGTTTCTTCAGATATCTCAATTCATTAGGCATTCCAGGGGCAAGAATCCAGCTGCAGCATCATATAGGTTTTAATCCCCATTCCTTCTTCCTCTTCCCTCTTCTACTATAGCATCCTGCTGTGTTCCCATGCAGCAATCTGTTCCACATTTATAGGATGAGCTGACTTATACCTTCTCTTCACAAGCAGCAACAACTGCAGAAACTCTTATTGCTGCCATAAGGTAGGCAGGGAAAGAGTTAAGGCCAAGACCTGAACAACTGCTTCTGGAGAAGACAGGAGGAGAGAGGCAGACTGAACCTGATGAAATCAGATCTAGAGCTTTTCCTTTTCCTTCCATTTTCCTTTCCTTTTCCTTTCCTTTTCCTTTTCCCTTCTCTCCCCCCTCCTTTCCTCTCCCTTTCCCTTTTCTTATTTTAAAAGTTCTTCAGTTTCAGGGGTTTACATTATGCCTCACTCTAAGTATGTGTTTCTTTAACAGGTCCAAGGAGCTTTGAAGAGGCAATGGACACAGTACAAAACCCAATGGGGCCAAAGGCGCCGCGAGCACTGTTCCACACGATCTACCTCCTACACAGCAACATCAATCACAGAGGTCCCCGTTTACCTGTATCACCATGATTCCAACAATGAACAGCTAAATGGAAGATATGTAGAGGACTCTGAACTTGTTGCATTAAAGTCTGGAGAGACATCTACCTAGCTCAGCACCAGCCATTGCAAACACATTGTTTCATGTTCTGCCTGTGAACAAAGTGGGGAGAAGGGTGGGAGTGTGGAAATCCAAGATACTGTGTCAGAGTGCAGGCCCAGGTGGAAGGACACATCATATTCAAACCACATCAGCCTCCGACAGCAGTGGTGTGAGGGAGTCTGATGCAGAACTGGAAATAGTATTTCTTCCTGTGCGCTGCAGCAGGGAGTGAACATGGACTTGCCGACCAGGCTGTGTAATCTCCACATCTCCTGATACCAGCCATATAAAGTGACCACCCAACATTCGTGACAACCGCAGGTAGCCCATAGCAAACAGGAAAGAAAGAACCAGTATGTGGCAATTGGGAACTTTCAGCACTTTTTGTTTTCTCTACTTTTCTTTAACACTAGTTTTTAAACTACCAACTTTCACAAGATGTAACTGGCTTAGAGTCTTTTATTTTTCTCTTTTAATGAGCTTGATGACTGCTTCAAAGATTTTGCACATTGCAAGACAAATCAAATATATAAACAGCAGAAAGTCACTCCAAAGTATTGAAATCCTGATGATTTCCAAAGGATGCCCCAAAATATTACCAACCCCAAAGGATACCCAGAATATTATCATCCCATTAGCAGGTGCACAAAGCAAATGAAGGTGAAATAGTCATTGCATACCAAGATCTCAAACACCCTGAGAGAAACAGATCAGTTCTTCAGGCTGCATCACACAAATCTTGAAGGCATCTCAAAATAGTTTTTGTTTAACAATACCGAGAGTTCAAGAATATTTATTTATAGGAAAAATTGTGAGTCTATTACTTTGCCCAGAAACTCATCATTAAGGCACAATTTTTTGTGAAATTTGTTTGGAAATTACAGTTTTATTTAATGGACTTTCTGAGGTTAATGTTAGATGAATGTTTGTCTCTGTTATAAAATTGTGATCATGACAGTAAAGATACCATGTAAGAAATGAGAAACTAATTTCTTAGCACAGGACGCATCTATTTTTAGAATTTGATTGCTCTCCTGAGTTCCTAATCATCCGATAGTCCTGCCAAAAACCTTGATAACCTATTTCAGATTCTATTGAAATTAGCAGACAAATCCGTGCTAACTTCAATGAGTGGTGAACAACTCTCTTCAGTGTTCGGGAATGACTTATGCAATACAGTTTGGTGTAGACCCCAAAAATAGGAGGTCATTCATAGTGATTTGAAACAATTTTTAAATATTGTGTCCAACCAGGCTGTTTTTCCTTGCTTTACCCTTAATTTGTAGATATTAAATGGAGGGACAATGTACATGACTACCTACATGCTGGAAAAGTCCCTCCCAGGAATGAGTTCATGAGGGATAGGTGTAAACCCAGCACTGAGAGAGGGGACTGAATTCCCACTATCCATACAAGAGGCAATGCCTAGCAGAGAAGAGGGTTACTCCATTTTTGCCACCAGCACACACACACAACCTCTGTGCACTACCAATACTTCCCAGTGTGAGGAATGAGCTCCTGGCTCTGCGACCATGGAACAAGAGAGAGGAGCTGGGGAACAAGAACAAGCTGTCTTGCAGATCATCACATGGTTAATCCAGTGGAACACTTACAAAAAAATACCTTCATGTGTATTTTGTTCCAACCACATACCTATTTTTCAGACTTCAAGGAATACGAAGATAGTTATTTTTTCAGACAACAGTATTTCTCGCATTGTTATTTCTATTTTCACCAGTGAACAGTAGGAAGTGGAGGAGTCAGTTGTTAAAGACAATAAAGTGGCTCTGCTATGAACGCTGTATTTCTGAACTGCTTTGGGACACACCACACTTCCTGGGAGTGCTCCAGAAGGCATTCCTGGTTTCTAAAGATACAAATGAGCTGATTGTAAAAGAAGTGTGCATAATATTGAGAGTTTAATAATGAACATGTTGGTTTTAATGATGTACATGTTTACAACATGTAAGTGCAAGTTGTTTCACTGTTATGTTCATGTGGCTGTACAAAATGGAAATGCTTTGCCATTATAATGATTGTGTTCTTTCTTCACTATTAAGAGTTTCTTGCTTTGTTTAGTAGAGTACTCTGAAAAGTCAGGATCTGAGGTTTAGGGTCTCAGTTGGGGCTTCAGTGTGGTTGCAGCAGTCTTTGTGGAAGCTTTGGTTTCAGTGGAGGGATGATGATGAAAAAGCCACTGAAGCTTTGGTCTCACATACACACTGAGTTTAGGGTTGTCATCACCCTTGGGCTTTGTAGGAAAGGCTGAGTTTTGAAGGTATTTACTGAGTAATTTCTTATCAAAATACTTTCTGATGGGAAATGCTATTTTCCTCATCTCCAGATGGTTTGAAACATTTTCATTGCACTCATAAGGTACATTTCATTCTCTGCTTTATAAATAGTACCATACACTAGTGACAGTAATATTAGGAATACTGATACAACCTCAGTAACTACAATTATGACAGTAGGGTGGTTTGAGTCTAGTACATTTCACAAGAACAGCAGAAATGCATAATTAATATATCATTGTATCAAAAAGTAGGGAAGGAGCTGACACTTGAATCCATGAATGCAAGGTGTATTTTAAGAGGAAAACAACCTTACATTAATCACCTCTGCAGTATCTGTTTCCTCTCAAACACCACACCACATCCAACACATGAAAACCCAGTTTACTGAAAATTTGCTCCAGCAGAAGTGGTTGCTTTGTTTGAGCAACGAAATCTATCAGGAAGATGCTGGTTGTTATTCTTTACAGAGTACAGAAACACAGCACAAATTAAAAGATTTGTTGTGGCATGGAATGTCAAAAGTAAGACTTGATTTTTATTTCATTTACTTAATAAATATATTTTAGCTAAAATAAAACAGCAACAAAGGTAAAACAGACAATTTTATCTGTATTAAAACTCTTAGCAATAATGCTACCTTAATTAAAACATTACAGAGCGCTCATGTAGCACGATAACTTTGCTTTGGGTTAAAAACAACCATGCAAATGTGGTGAATTTCTGTCCTCCCATCCTTTGCTAGTCTCAATAAATAAAATCTGAGCAGATTTTCAAAGACGCAAGTCCGAAATACTAACAGTGTGAAGGTACCTACATTTCCACTGCTTGGAATTTTAAAATTCTGATGTGTCTTCATGAAGCTAAATATGTGCAGTTATTTTATCACTGCTCAAAAATATCAAGATTTGTGACCTAAAAAAATATTTGTATTGATACAGTAGTTGATCCCAAGCCAATGAGACTCTGCAGTATATGACGCATGCCCTGTCTGCCCTCTGGCAGCATAGAAGACCTGAGCCCAGCTGTGCAATTTGGACCCAATGCTGCCACATGGATGGGGGAAAAAATGTCATTGGCCAGCAGTGAGGGAAAGTTAGACCTCCAGCTTGGCATACCTCGGGAAGAAGAACACGATCAGCTCCTTAGTCAATTATCTAGTGAAATTTAAGTCCCTGGCAAGCCCTGAGATCTAGAATGGTGCCAGAAATGACACCAATGTTTTGACACCTGTAGTTCTGTGCCAGCTGTAGTAATTAGGGTACCTGTAAGATTTAAGTTCAAAGTACCCTTTTCATGACCTGCAGATGTTTCTGTGCAGTACAGAATTTTTCACATACTTACAGATGGATCCCAAATCTATATTTAAGTATCCCTTTATTGAGTATTTAGAGCATCATTGAGAAAATAAAGGAATTCTCATCATCTCAAATATAGAACAGTATGTCCCCCTCATCCTAATGAAGGAGAGCTGTTTTAACCAGTCAAATCAAGTGGTGAGAAGGTTACCATTACTGAGCATGTCATACTGCTGCTGCAGAAGAAAGCAGCATGGTAAGATGACTAACAGGGATGTTATATATGAGCCTCACGAAACACAAATTGCCACAGACAGCACTGGGGATGATTTAGGCCTGGCTCACTTGCATTGGCAGACAGATCATTTAGATGACCTGCCAAATTCCTATCAAAACTTATTTTCTATGATTTTGTAGCAGCAGAGATGGGCACTGTGCTCTGCTGGGGCAGGAAGGTACCTACCTCTCATTAAATGCCACTTAAGATTTTCTTTATAATCCAATTTCAGGACCTCCCAAACCTATCTTAAAAAGAAACCAACTATCTTCAGTCAATTTTTAAAGGACATCGGATGACTGCACAAATTTTAATAATCTGGTCCCTCTTCTCTCACTGTAAGCAAATGCAACTTTGAGAAGTGACCACACCACAGGAGGTTACTTTGTGTAGTGTGAAATGTGCAGATGTGTGACAACATGGAACTCCTCCATTCCCAAGTGCTAGTGATGTTGGTTTGCATAATATGGTCAAATAGATACAGCTCCTTCCCTCATCTGCTCTGCATTTCTCTCCACCATAAGAAGCATTTACTTCCCAGTCTGTGCATCCTACACACTTTCAGCAGAAACATTTTTCCTTTACAGTTTGCATCTACTACCCACTGGAATTATGGAAATGGTAGGTGCAGATTTAAAACTAAATTAAGGATAAAAGTCTGAGCACACAGATCAAGTATCTTTAGAAGCAGAGTAACATTATCTTTCTATTTTTGACAGAATGCAATCCTGTCATTTGAAGAAAAGAAAAAAAAATCTTAAGAAGTTGAATGTCAGATGAAAGGCACCAAAAAAATCAACCATCTGGCAATTCTAGATAGCATACGTACATATATACATATGAATTATATTATATATATATTTACAATGAATTGTTATAAGAACTGTGCTCAGGTAGAAAGTGACCCATCATCCCCCACAAAATGCACAAAGCCGAAGTGAGGAGTGGAAGATACTGTGGGGCAGAGAAGGTATGTAGCCTCCCTTAACTACCTTAATGCTTTCTGAGGACCCCATGGGTCACCGATCTGCCCACTCCCATACCATATGTGTTCACAATGGGAATGACTTGGCCAAGAAACGTTGGCTACACTGCATTTCTCAGCTTGCTAAATCAGGGCTGAGCTGATGAAAAGGGCTGACGGGGAGGTGAGCAGGAATAATCTCTTTCCCAGCTACCTGTCTGCTCTCCAACAGATAACCTCACTTATCTTAGCAGCATAAGACCTACTATTGTGGAGAAGACTGACCTTAGATCAGGCAGCTCCTTGGTATGGAAAACCTTTTATTTCATTTTACCCTCGGTAATACAGCAGTAATTCTCACTGACTTCAGCAATGTGGCTAAGGGCAGGATTTCTCCCTCTCTGATTTTAGAGGTTATCTAAATATCTAACAAACACTGAAAATACTTGGTGTAATACAGTTTCACCTTCATATTTAACATCAAAATCCCAGTTCATCTGTATTATGCTGCATATAGACTGTTTAAGGTGACAAGATACTATTTTTATATTTTCCGGGGGGGGTTTTTGAGAAATGTTTGATGTCTACTAGCACTACATTTATATATGCTACATGTATTGGACAAACTTCACAATTAACATATATTAACATATATTTTCATTGTTATAGGTAAAGAGATAAATAGTTGCTTATGTTAAATGCTTAGCTTCCAGAAGATCAAAATAAAAAGAATGAAAAAGGCTCTCGGAGTCCATGCTGACCACATAGAAAAACCTGAGAGATGGAAACCTCTTGTATCCTACTCTCCTCTCTTACCTCTTAGTTATTTCTTTAGTTTCAGGCAAACAAAGTCAAAGTGTCTCAGTCCAGATGGTGGCACGAAGCTGATCAGAACCATGTTATCTGGATAGGTTTTTCTGGGAGATGATTGGTACACATGCAGATGTACAGCTCTTCCCACTGACCACTGCAGTGTGTGTGTGCAAGCAAGATTTTAATGAATAAACCCTCTAGGTATATAATAGCATCACAATTAACATTCCTTCTGAGAATGGGTGGGAGAGACTTCTGCACAGTTTAAAAAATCTGTGAAATAAGGTCCATGAAGAAAGAAGCTGTATCTCAGGTTCAGAGACAGCATCACCACTATATGCTTCCACGGGGAAAAAAGGTGCATAAAATAGCTACCTATAATGATTGTCGCTCTATAAATGGTCAGAGCCCATATTCTGCTTGCTGGAGATTGTGTGGGCAGGTTTATCAAGTTCAGGCCCAGAACAAATGAAGAGGAAATAGCTTAAGAAAAGGTTTTTCTTATTGAATTATTTTATACTGCAGGCTTTTTTCTTTTATGAGCACTTTTATTGTCTTCAGGTATATAGCAAATATTTAACACCAAAGGACCGAGCCGCCATGCTCATGATTGCCTCTCCAGCAGCAGAAGAGAGACGCCTCTCTGGAGAGGCTGCAGCTTTGACCTGGCAGCCGTTCAGAGTCTTCACGGGAATTATGGTGCAAGTGTATCCAACACAAGGTAACCTTCAATTTTGAAAGGAGGGATTGGAAGGATTCTTCATGAAATTTCTTCCTTATAGCAGACTTCTTGGGAAGTCAGAGTTAGTGAGAAAGTGAAGGACAACGGGTCACTCCAGATGTGCCATCATCTACACAGGCTCTGCCATATACATGATGAATAGTTCGTTGTGAATTCTCGAGTTTTGTTAAATGCCAAAAATACCCAAAAACCAGGTCATATTTCTCCATCCTAACTATAGCCCATGTGGAAGTCCTTGGTATTAGTTTTTCTTATACATCAGGATATCACGAGCAAAGGTCCCTGTTTTTCAGCCATTTGTTTTACATTACACAAGTACTAACACTCCTGAATGCAGAAGGGTGCATCAGTTACCAACCAGTTACCAATGCATGTCAGCAAAAGAAATGAATGCAATCAGGACAAAGAAATTAAATAAATACATTTTATGCTCAGCATATACAGTCTTTGTAAATTAGCAACACACCTTCAGTAATCAAAACATATCCAAAAAAAATCTGGGTATAATTTAAGCAATTCCATGTGTATATAAAAGTTTTTGGTTCCTTTTTTTTTTTTGTAATTCATGTCTAGATAGAATATTACTATATGCACATGGCAGGAAAGTTTTATGTAATTAAATTTTGTTGGATGATGCTTGAAATGCATGGCTCACAAAAATGGAAAAGGCTTCAAAATATAGGAAGACTTCCCATGTTGGCAAATCCGAGGCACAGACACAAGTCAAAAATTCATTGTTCATGATTGATACAAATGAAAACACGGTTATAATTGAATTATCCCTGAGTTTGATATAAGCCAAGAAATTCATTGTCTACTTTAGTATTTACTGCGCAATGTGTTTTTATGCCATAAAAATACACTGATGATTTTCTACACCACATGTATGTTTCTGATTGTAAACCAATTGTTCTGTTGCTGTGTGCTGTACAGAAGCTAAACCTTCCTGCAAGTGTAGAAAATCTTACAAAGAAATACTGACCAACGATGTGAGTGAAATCTCAGCCTTACTGAAATCAAAAGCATCAGCTGCTTGAGTTCTGTGGGAACAAGAATTTCATCCTTTACAGATCCTGTTTTACCAGCCTTAATGGCTGTGGATGGATCAGGAAGGGGATGCTTGGTACTGCCTCTGTAACACCCATGTCCCCCACAGGAGCTGCAAACACGTGGGGGCTGCTGTTATCTTTTCAGGTCATTCCCCCAAAGATCTGAGGAGGTTGATGAGAGAGCAATGCTAGAGAAAACAGTGCAGTAGTTAAGCCTTGCTCTGACATTTCCTAATGCAGTAGATGCAGGAACATAGAGCCCTGTTGAGGGTTTTCACATACCCTCGAAAGTTCGACCTGCTCTTACCCTGGTGGGATCCATGTTGAGATAGGTGCCAGTCAATCACCCTTTCTTAATTTATGTCCTGCACCGGAGCATTTTAGATGCAATTACTTTGGTATAGAACAGAGCATTCAGCAAATTTTTGCTTTGTGAGAGACTGAT